TCTCATCTCCTTCCTTCCTTCCTTCCTTCCTTCCTTCCTTCCTTCCTTCCTTCCTTCCTTCCTTCCTTCCTATATATGTGATCAAAAAAATCCCATTTTGATAGGTCTATTTCTCTAGGGGGGAATCAGTGGGCACCCCCAGAGCAAAGGGGGCCCAGCCCACATTCCCTGGGCCTTTACAGCCAGACCTCTGCTCAGCCTGGCAGAGAAACTGCCATTTGCAGAGGCTTCCTTGGAGGCGGAGATGAAGGTCACATGAAAAAAAATAAATAACATTTACTGTCTGTAATTTTGCTGGCATTTTATGACAAGGTGGAGGGTGGGTGGGGGAGGAAAGGACCCCAACTTGGAGGACGAGAAGCTCCCTCGTTCTTCTGTTTTCATTTTCAAGATATTTATTTTTTTTGTCCCTGCCTCTTTAGCATCCTTTCTCTCCATCTGGGGAGGCCTGGCTGGCATCAGGCACTCCATCGCCCAGGTCCAGGTGAGACATGTAAACAGAGGGGAGGGGGCAGGAGAGAACAGAGAAGGACCTGCCACGTGATGTGTTTCTTGACGTGGGCGCCATTCAGCTCTCTCTCCCCCCCCCCGTTAAGACCCCTAAGACCCCTGCTCTTCAATTGCACCATTTGGGGAAATGGAGGGAGGGGGTGGCCGGGACAGGTGTCCAGGTTGGGAAAATACGTCGAGGCCACTGGAAAAGGGGGAGGCCTTTCCCAGTGCTGTTGCCCCCCACCCACCCCTCGCCCCCCCACCAAAGCAATATTTCGGTGCATCCTTGAGATGACATACTGCTTCTGCCTGCCCTTTGGCAGGAGGATCTGCTTGGCAAAGTGACTTTGCACCATCACCAGGTATGGCCCTCTGGCCAAAACATTTCTCCCCCCCCCATGACCCCCATCCACCAGAAAAAGAAGGAGCAGCAGGAAAGAAAGGAAGGAAGGAAGGAAGGAAAGAGAGAGAGAGAAGAAAGGAAGAAAGGAGAGGAGAGAGGAAGGAAGGAAGGAAAGGAAAAAGAGAGAAGGAAGGAAGGAAGGAAGGAAGATATGGGAAATATTCTGGGAAGAAAGGAAGGAAGGAAGGAAGAAGAGAGAAGGAAGGAAGGAAGGAAGGAAGGAAGGAAGGAGAGGAGAGAGGAAGGAAGGAGGGAGAGAGGGAAGGAAGGAAAGGAAAAAGAGAAAGATAGAGATAGTGATGAGAGAAGGAAGGAAGATATGGAAAATATTCTGGGAAGGAAGGAAGGAAGGAAGGAATGAGAGGAGAGAGGAAGGAAGGAGGGAGAGAGGGAAGGAAGGAAAGGAAAAAAGATAGAGATAGAGATGAGAGAAGGAAGGAAGATGGAAAATATTCTGGGAAGAAAGGAAGGAAAGAAGAAAGGGAGAGAGAGAAGGAAGGAAGGAAGGAAGGAAGGAAGGAAGGAAGGGAGAGAGGGAAGCAAGGAAAGGAAAAAAAGATAGAGAGAGATGAGAGAAGGAAGGAAGATATGGGAAATATTCTAGGAAGGAAGGAAGGAAGAAGAAAGAAGAAAGGAAGGAAGGAAGGAAGGAAGGAAGGAAAGGAAAAAGATATAGAAATGAGAGAAGGAAGATATGGAAAATATTCTGGGAAGGAAGGAAGGAAGAAGAGAGAAGAAAGGAAGGAAGGAGAGAGGAAGGAGGGAAGGAAGGAAGGAAAGGAAAAAGATATAGAAATGAGAGAAGGAAGATATGGAAAATATTCTGGGAAGGAAGAAGAGAGAAGAAAGAAAGGAAGGAAGGAAGGAAGGAAGGAAGGAAGGAAAGGAAAAAGAGATATAGAAATGAGAAAAGGAAGATATGGAGAATATTCTGAGAAGGGAGGAAGAAAGGGAGGAAACAGAAACAGACAGAAAAGAGGTTTTCCTGCAGCTACAGCGCGGCCAGCTTCCCCCCCCCCTCCCCACCGCTGCTGCAGATAGATAAATAAAGCATTTCGGATTATAACGGATAAATCTCTTGCGACCACGTCGTGTAGGCGGGTGAGCGCGGCGGCGGCGGCGCAGCCCGCTGGCTCCCAACAAATGGCTCCTTCCTGCGCGTTTGTGTGTCTTGTGTGCGTGTTGTCTGTGCGCGTGCCCGGCAAATCCCTCCGAAGGAGAAGAAGAAGAAGAAGGGGTGGGCTGAGGCTGGCTGCCCCCCCGCCCCATTTCCCCGCCCTGTCATATATATATATATATCTATATATATAATATATATAGATAGATATATTAAATATATGTCTCTATATATATATATTTAATACACATTTTAGCTATTGAAATGGCAGCGGACGGGCTGTCTAGCGGTCGGATCCAGGGCAGAACGTCGGCTGTCAATCAAGCGGTCCTCCCCCCCCTCTCCATTTATTGGGGGGGGCAAGGCCAAGAGCTTCCCCCCGCGAGCATCTGCAATGTGTCAATCGGAGGGAGGGTGGAAAAGATGGAACCCTTGGCGGGGGGGGGGGGAAGGAGAAGAGAGAAAACGGCCCCTCCCCGACGCCTCTCAATGCCCAGCATCCCAATGTGTGTGTCTGTATGTGTGTGTGTGTGTGTATGTGGGTGTGTTGGTGTGGGGGGGTTATTTTTCGGGGAAGGGGGCAGAGAGAGAGGGAGAATGAGCCCTTAAGCAGCCCCCCCCACTCAAAAGACGCATTCCTCAAGGGCTTTTTTTTTCCCCCTTCTTCTTTCTCTTCCCCCCCTCCCCAAAAAAATTGCAGAAAGCAATGTTTGCAAGCGGAGACCCCCACCCACCCCTTGCCCAAGCGCGTACCCCCCCCCCACAGACCCCCCCCTCCCTCCCCGGCTTACCTCCCCACGAAATTCTCCAGGACGGAGCTCTTGCCGGCGCTCTGGCCCCCCACCACGGCGATCTGGGGCAGGTCCAGGTTGGCGTTCTGGCCGATGGCGGAGAAGGCATCCTGCAGGCGGTTGACCAGCGGGATGAGGTCTTCCATGCCCCGGTTCCCCATGACGGCCAGGCGGGGGGCTTCGTGGGGGGGGGGTCGCCTCTGCGGCTGGCTGGCTGGCTGGCTGGCTCAAGCAATGCCCGGGATGCTCATCCGAGGGAGATCTGCGCCCCCTCCGCGGAAGAAGCCCCCCAGCCCGGACCCCCAGCCAGCTGCCTCTGCCCGGAGCTCTGCGGCAAGCGGGAAGACAGCCCGGCTGGCACCTCCGCCGCTACCTGGGTGCTCGCCGGGGCTGGGAGGAGAGAGGGAGAGCGCGTTCCCGCGGCCGCCGCTAGCGGGCAGGCGCGAGCTGGGTCCCGGAGAGCATCCTGGGGGTTGTAGTTCTGGGCCATAGATTGCTCGCCCTGAGAAACCACCCCCCATATCCCCACTCCTCCACCCACAGCCAGGAAAAGAAGGAGTCGCAGCAGTGGGGGAAGGAAGAAAGGCAGGAAGAAAGAGGGAGGGGGAGAGAAGAAAGAAAAAAGAAAGAAAGAAAGAAAGAAAGAAAGAAAGAAAGAAAGAAAGAAAGAAAGAAAGAAAGAAAGAAAGAAAGAAAGGAGAAAGAGAGAAGAAAGGAAGGAAGGAAGGAAGGAAGGAAGGAAGGAAGGAAGGAAGGAAGGAAGGAGGGAGANTTGAGACGTGGCAGGATTTGAACTGGCATCTCCCCTGGGTGCGCCCGTCGGCCCGGGTTTGCGGAGGGACAGACAGGATGGGCTTCAGGGTGGGGAATCCCCTGGCGGGGGCTTGGTTTAATGTAATGTAATTTAATTTAATTCATGTGGGTGTGAGTTAACCCAGGTTCCTGTTTGGTAGCGCAGCTGCATGTGTGAACACATCCGAGAGGGGGAGACATGGAGGGGAAGAGCAGAAACAGTGCTTGTGAATGCAAAAGCCTGGAGAGCCACTCCTGAAGCCCAATTTAAAAGGCCCAATTAAAAGAAGTGCATTATCCAAACCAAAACTTCCCTACCTCACAGGGCTGTTGTGAAATTCAAACAAAGTCTGATTCTTTTTTGGAAACAAGAGGGATAAACACCAGTTCTGCAACCGCTGTGGCCTGCTTACTGCTCCTCTTGTGTTCCTGCCTTGAATAATTTGCTTAAATGATCAGAATCTGTGTACTGTAATCCAAGGGACTAGAAACTTGTCCAGAAAAAAACAAACAAACAAACAAACAAACAGAAATGTGTTAACTTGTATTAATTATCTTGGAAAAGGAAGCAAAGTTCCTCCATGTGATTTAGGTCATTTTTACAACAGTGATATGGCGGTTCCAATTTTTCTTTTTTTCTTCGTTTTACTTTGTTTCTCAAGCAAGATTCCATCCGGCAAACCACAAATCGATCTCCATCTTTCCATGCTCGGTGTCCCTTTGGTGGAGGAGAAGAAGAGGAGGAAGAGGAGAGAAGAAGGAGGAGGAGGAGGAGGAGGAAGAAGAAAAAGAAGAAGAAGAAGAAGAAGAAGAAGAAGAAGAAGAAGAAGAAGAAGAAGAAGAAGAAGAAGAAGAAGAAGAAGAAGAAGAAGAAGAAGAAGAAGAAGAGGAGGAGGAGGAGGAGGAGGAGGAGGAGGAGGAGGAGGAGGAGAGGAGGTGGAGGAAGGAGGAGAAAAGAAGGAGGAAGACAAAGAGGAGGAGGAGAAAAGAAGGAGGAGGAAGATGAAGAGGAGAAAAGGAGGAGAAAGAGGAAGAGGAGGAAGAGGAGGAGGAAGACGAAGAGGAGAAAAGGAGGAGAAAAGAAGGAGGAGGAGGAGGAGAAGAGGAGGAGGAAGAGGAGGAGGAGAAGGGGAGGAGGAAGACGAAGAGGAGAAAAGAAGGAGGAAGACGAAGAGAAAAGGAGGAGAAAAGGAGGAGGAAGGCGAAGAGGAGGAAGAGGAGAAGAGGAGGAAGACGAAAAGAAGGAGGAGGAAGAGAAGAGGAGGAGGACGAAGAGGAGGAAGAGGTGGAGAAGAGGAGAAGAAAGAAAAGGAGGAGAAAAGAAGGAGGAGGAAGATGAGGAGGAGGAGAAAAAGAGGAGGAAGATGAAGAGGAGGAGGAGGAGGAGGAGGAGGAAGACTGAGGGGTCCTTGGTGCTTTCTGAGCCTGGCTTTGGGGTGGAAATTATCTTTTTGTTGCCTCAGCCCCCTCTCCCCCTAATTGGAGAACTCGGTTCCTCTTGCGACGCCCGTCGCTCGGAGCCATCTGGCGGGATCCTTCTGTCCTTTTGTGTGCGGTTAAAAATGACAGCCCAGATGGAGGGCCCCCCCCCCCAGCCCCACTGGGGGAAACACCGTCATCAGAGGCAGAGCGCGCTGAGATGGCCTGGAGGCCAAAAGGGGGAGCCTGGGGATCGGCCGAAGGGACCCCCGCTCCCTCCTTGTGTTAAGACAGGGCCCGGTTTCAGGGCCTTTAAGCCCTGTGAACGCCAGAAGCGGAGATGTGGTTTGGTAACGTTAGGCCCTGGAGCCATGTCCCTTCATCAGGCCGGCTTTAAGAGAATAGTAGAGTTGACAAAAACAGGATCGCCAACATGATCGCCAACGTCCGATAACGGATATGGCAGAAAGAAGAAGAAGAAGAAGAAGAAGAAGAAGAAGAAGAAGAAGAAGAAGAAGAAGAAGAAGAAGAAGAAGAAGAAGAAGAAGAAGAAGAAGAAGAAGAAGAAGAAGAAGAAGAAGAAGAAGAAGAAGAAGAAGAAGAAGAAGAAGAAGAAGAAGAAGAAGAAGAAGAAGAAGAAGAAGAAGAAGAGTTGGAAGGAACTTTGGAGGTCTTCTAGTCCAACCCCGTCACGCAGGAGACTCTGTAAGACCAGTGGACTTCCAAAATCATGTTCTTTACTCCTCCTCTTCTTCTTCCTCCTCCTCCTCCTCCTCCTCCACCTTGTCGTCTTCTTCCTCCTCTTCTCCTTCTTCCTCTTCTCCTCCTCCTCCTTCTCTTTGTCTTCCTCCTTTTCTCCTCCTCTTGTTCTCCTCCTCCTCCTCCTCCCTCTGTGTAAAATTTATCCAATAAAACAAGAGAATCCCGTCGTACCCAACAGTAGGGCCAGCCCTTTCTCTGCCCTACAACGGCCAGGCCCAAGAAAACCCAACGTTTTGCCCTAATCGGAGTTTCCTGTTTTGCAGCAGCTTCTCCAAGCAAAGGATGCAAGATCCGTTGACATGGCAACAACTGTGGGGATTTTTAATTTATTTTAACTTTTTGCTGCAAACCTCTTCTGCTTTCGCTCGGGCTGGGCATCAGGTTGTGGCAGCTGGCAAGTCCAGGTGGAGGGAGGGGGAGGAGGAGGAGCTGGTCTGCGTGGGTCCCCCCCTCCCGCAGTTCTACCTTCTGCCTAGGTAGTTCTTTAAAAAGCACCTGGATGCCGGCTTGTTCCTGTAAGCAGCCGGTTGGCAGGGACCAAATCTCCGCTCCCAAGGTGTAAAGAACAGGCAGCTGCTTCGGAACAGAC